CGGGCTGACGCCCTTCCGCGCGGCAGGAGCGGAGCCAGACCCTCTCCAGAGCGGGTTTGGAAAGGGAATCGACGTCACCAGAACGCCTGATGGAAATCTTGCGAAAGCAACAAGATTTACTTTGTCCCCAGACAGAGTCACGCACTGCTGCTTATTTACTCACTGAATTCACTCCCCTGGTGACCAAGCCAAGGCTGGCTCTGGCCCAGTTGGGTCGTGGTGCCCCTCGGGTTGGGCAGCGGGGAGGGAAATGAGGGTGCTCCGACTCTCCGGCCCCAGCTCCGTGCCCCAGCTCCGACACGGACCAAGGCCAGAGCAGCATAGTGCAGGCAGAGGGAGCTGGCAGCAAGAACTACCGTTTCGGTTAAAAGCTGAGTAAACAAGGCTAAAGCCACGTGGAGCTCGAGCGAGTAGTGGGAAGCAGCCGTGGCACACGGGTCACCTGGCACCACTACAACTGCGAGAGATGCGGATCGGACTGAGCAGAGGAGACAGAAAGTTGCTTTAATTCCCTGGTGTGCGATCCGAAATAACCCAGCAGAGTCATTGCAGGTTGCTGGTCATGGCAAAAGCATAAACATTCTGCTCTTCCCCAGCACCGTCTAGATCTTTATGGGAAGCTGGAAGAACGGATAAGCAGATGGTATAAGAGTGTATCCAATCTTGTATTATTAGAAGCTGATGAACATGCAGAGGAAACAAGAGAGAGAGGCTCAAACAATCTGAAGAGCTAGATGCACGTTGGAGTTACTGGCTGAGAGTGTCAAACTCCAACTTCTGCACAACACCACAATTTCTCACTCTCAGGTCTCCACAAAAAGATAAACCCAAGAAGTCAGTGATCAATTAACCCTCCTGCTCTCCTTACTGTATGTGCTTGAGGGAACTGCCAACTCTTTCAACCAGAGATGCCCATCTCTGGAGTGAATTATTCTGGTCAGTTTAGCAGGAGGAAGGAGGAATGGGAGAAAACCAACAAAAAGTTGACCGGAATAGCACTGAGCACAGGAATTTGAGCTTCATATGAAGCCTGACCTTAAAATTCCAGCCACAGGACAATTAGGTTGGGATTAACATAACCTAGCTGTAGCCAGGGGCAACGAGATTTTAATTCTTTAACTAACGGGAGAGTTTTGCTTCTTAATTGTCAAAGGAATTTCTGAGGTGCCCTAATGCAGCACTAATTAGAAACTCACCGTACGAGAAACAACTCTGGGATGCTTTCCTGTGGAGGGAGCACGAGACCCACACCGTGAAGCCTAAAATCAGAGGGGACCAACCTCCACATGCCTGCACGTGGGTCCCCCACATCGAGGGGAGAACAGGGAAAGGGGGTTTAAAAAAAAAAAAAGCGCAAGAGCAAGAGATCAGTTGATCCCAGGAGAGCCGAGCACCCACCAAAAGAGCAGAGTGGCCAAAGCCGAGAGGGAGAACGGTCTGTGTCTGGGACAGCGAGCATCCTGCACACGATCCGAACAATAGAGAGTGAAGAAAACAAAGGGATTTGTCTCCCAGAACGAAGGGGCAAACAAAGCTCACCCTGCAACACAAGCCACAGCGCTCAGCCTCTGTCCCTGCAAGCGTTGGCACCCCAGCACAGCTGGGCCAGGGGTGGCACGAAGCCTCCCAGCAGCTTCAGCCTCCCCAGCAGATGCGAGGTTGAAAGCCAGATGGACTCGCTCACGGGAAGCACAGAAACACCAGGCAGACCCCTGCTGCCATGCTCAGACAGAAGATGCTCTGCAGAAGGAAGGAGAGTTATCGTTGCTGCCGAGAGAGGGTCAGTCTCAGCGCCGCTCAGCTACAGAGAGGCTGTTGTGTGATAGAAACATCTGAACACAAAGCAATTCATTTGCAGCTGGACTAACACAGTACTCCGAGGACCTAACAGAGCCTGCCCCCATCTCTCACAGGGAGCTCACTGTTTCACAGGAATCCGACTGAATTCTAGCACGAGAAATGCCCAGTCAAGCCTCTCCATCAACTTCAAGAGGCTGTCAATCAACCTGCCAGCTCTGCTGCAACGGCGTCCTCCACTGAAGACTCTGATGCACA